TCCCTCACAGCCACCATTCCGTTCCCCTCTCCCTGCATCTGTGCTCTGTGGGCCTCGCCTTCAGTGGCGACCCCCCTCAGGGCTCTGCTTCCTGTCAGAGCTGAGGGGCAGTCAGAGCCCTATAGGCGGAGAGACCCTGGCTTGTGGCTGGGTTGCCACGTCCCCCACTAGGGCTGGGGCTGGGAAGGACTGAGGCAGAGGACCACAGACAGCTGCGAGCTGCAGTCCAGGCGAGGGCAGGATGGCAGTGGAGCCCAGGGTGGGGCGGAAGCCGACGGGCCCTGGCCCAGCTACCAGGACTGGGCGTCAGGCCTCCTTAGTGTCCGTCCACTGTCCACAGAGCAGGAGCCTGGCCTTCGCCTTCCACCAGGGCCAGTCTCCTGCAGGTGGTGATTCAGATGTGGCCAGCAGCTGCACCCAGGACACAGGAGAGGCCACCGAGCCAGCCCGGCAGGCGTCCGGCATTGGTGCAGCTGCCAGCTGCCCTTGGCGGGGTCTCCCAGGGCCTGGTTCCTATCAGCAGCAACCCTGGTAGGGTCCGCAGTGGCTCTAGGCACCTCAGGTCTTCCGGACTCTGGAGGCGGGTTCTGGTGGTTTGCAGGGCCCCTAAGCAGGGCGACGCCCCACAGAGCAGACGCCTGCACCCGCCCGGTTGCTCAGAAGCCGAAGGCTGAGGTGCTGGAGCCACAGTCCTGGGGAACCCGTGCCCTCCGCCTCAGGGGCCCCTGGGGCCTGCCTGAGCAGCGTTGGTGGCTGACTGGTGGCCCTCCGCATGGGCCCGAGAGCCTGGGCGCTGGGGCTTGCTTGTGGCCCACCCAACTCTTGGGGCGGTGGCCCGCAACCCTCATGCCAGAGGCTCTCTTGCCCCCAGTCCTAGAGAGGCCAGACCAGGCCTGCAGCCGCATCCACCCTGCTCATCCCCACAGCGGTGCATGCTGAGGAGCCCTGCGCTCTTCCATGGGGACATGCCAGCCGCTGCATCCCCACCTGCCAGCTGGTGGCCACGAGGGCCCCTTCCCCCAAGCTCCCAGGGCTCTTCCCTCTGGCGGTGCATGTTTCCAAGTTCCCCAGGGTGGGCCTGAGCGCTGGCAGGGCTGGCTCCTTAATGCCAGAAAGCGGGTCCTAAAGAGCCCTACCCTCAACTGGGAACCACAGGCTGAGGGAAGGGCTGGGACAATGCCTGGCCTCCTCATGGTCCTGGGTTGACCTCACAGGGCAGACATTCATTCTGCAGCAGTTATTTTGACTTTAACTTTGGTGGCCTTCTCAGGCCAAGAACAAGACTACGATACTTGAGAAAGGCTGACTAGAGCCCCCTGGGGCCACACCATTCCACGGGCAGCTCCTGCCCCGTGGTGACAGCCAGCGCACGCCCAGATGCTGGTGCTGTGGGCAGATCAGGCGCTGTAGACCATGGCAATGACAACTCCTCATCTAGAAAATGAGGAGACTAAGTGACAGACAAAAATGACTTTTTATACAGATCAGTATTTTTTTGTTCATTAAATTGGTTGATGACCTACCGTAGCCTACTTGTCTTTTTTGGGCACCAGTTTGCTGCTAAGGTTTGTCAACCTTAGCAGCAAACTCAAGCCTTGTAACAATGCAGGCCTGACACTGAGACAGGCCACCAGGTGCAGAATGGACTTTGTGTGGGGTCTTGCTGTCAGAGCATCTCAGCTCATTGATGGACCGGATCAAAGAGCAGTGGTTCTCAGCCTCAGCTGCTTATTAGAAATCACCAGGGGAGGCTTTAAAAGATCATTAGGTCAGAAACCCTGCATATCAGTAGACGACTCACCTGTGTGCACACACTGGAAATCCCCAGGAGTCTACCTAACCAGATATACCCACCTAGAAGATGAGGGAGTACATCAAAATCTGAGAATACATCAGAAAATCACAAACCCCTATTTCTGCATAACAGCAATGAACATATGAATACAAATTAAAAATAGTACCACTGTTTAGAAAAATTAAATACTTGGGTTTAAAACTAATAAAACATGCAGGGAAAGATGCTGAAATCTCCAAAACAGAAGTTAAATAAATGGGAAAATATACCATGTTCATGGACCAAAAGATACAACACAGTCAAGACGTCAGTTCTCCCCAAGTTGACGTACAGGTTTATCTTGGCAATATTTTTAGATGTAAACAAGGTTATTCTCAAATTCTCAAGAAAAATGTATAACCAAAACAATTTGAAAAAGAACAAAGTGGGAGGAACAACTAATCTACTGATTTTAAGACTCACTACATAGGGGCTGGGGCTCAATGGCAGAGCACTCGCCTAGCATGTGTGAGGCACTGGGCTCAATTTTCAGCACCACATATCAATCAGCTAATTAAAGATACACTGAGAACTAAAAAAATATTTTAAAAAACAAGGGACACACGTGGTATTGGCAGAGGGACAGGTACATAGGGGCTAGGTAGATGCTTTTTTAACAAAGGGTACCAGAACAATTGGACATCTATAGGCTTAAAAAAAAGAGCCTTGACCTCAGTCTATATGAAGATTAATTCAAAATGGATCACATTTATGGAAAAAAAAAAAAAAACAGACGATTTCTGGGGCCTCAGACTAGGTGAAGAATTTTTGACACTAAAAGCACAATGCATAAAAAGAAAAAAGTGACTTCCTCAAAATTAAAACCATTTGTTCTGAATAAGTCTCTGCAGAGAGGATGAAAATCTAAGCTACGTGTGTCAGCTTTTTGTTTCCATAACAACCTGAAATAATCCACTTCAGGAAGAAAGGCGGACTTGAGCTCAGGGTTTCAGAGGGCTCAGCCCATGGTCACCTGGCCCTGCCGCCTAGTTTTCTCTCTATGGGCCTGTGCATCATGACAGAGTACTCAGCAGAGTGACTTGCACATGAAAGGGACAGGAAAAGCCTTCGTCCCAGTGTCCCCATCAAGGATGCACTCCCCAGTGACCTACCTTCTTCCCACCAGTTCCTACTCCTGCAGGGTCCACACCTCCCAGGAGCCACTGCAAGCTGAGGACTGAGCCCCTAACATGTGGACCTGACATTCCAGATCCAAACAATAGCAGTAGAGACTGGGATAAAGTACTTGCAAACCAAAAACCCCACAAAAGACTTTAGCACTTAGAATATATGAGGAACTCTCAGAACAAAAAACAGCCCAATTAGAAAGTGGGCCAAGGACAGAGATGTGACCAAAAATACATGAAAAAATGTCCACTACTAGCCATCCAGGAAAAGGGATGAAAGCCACCAGTTCTGCTCACACCCAGAAGAGTCAGGGGGAACAGCAGCACCACCCAGTGGCGGAGAGGGTTTCTGTTCTGAAGTGCCTGAAGTTGGTTGCTAACTAAACACAGCAGGGCGCAGTGGCGCTTGCCTGTCATCCCAGAGACTTGGGAGGCTGAGACAGGAGGATCACAAGTCCAAAGCCAGTCTCAGCAAAAGTGAGGCGCTAAGCAACTCAGTGAGATCCTGTCTCTAAATAAAAAATACAAAATGTGGCTCAGTGGTTGAGTGCCCTGAATTCAATCCCTGGTACCTTCCCCCACAAAAAAAGAACACGCAATAACCATGACCTAGCAATGGCACCTCTGGCATTTATCCGAGAACAGGACGCTGATCTTCGCACAGACCCATGTGCACATGTACATGATGTCCATAGCAGCTTTATTTGGAATAGCTGAAAACTGGAACCACCCAGATATCGTTCGACGGGATGGTAAGTACACTATGGAACACCCCTTGGCAAGAGAAAGGACCCAACCACCGGCAGGCGACAACCTGGACGCGTCTCCAGAGGATTGTGCCGAGTGCCACATGGTCACTGTGACTCCATTGATATAACAGTCTTGAAATGGCAACACAAGAGCAAAGAGGAACACGTTAGTGGCTGCCAGGGGCTGGGGATGGCACGGGGGGCTCTCCAGGGGTAGCCCAGGGAGATCTCTGTGGTGACACGGGCGCAGTTACACAAATCTGCCCAGGACACACCACACCTGTGTCAAAGCCCTGATTTGGATACTGTACTGTAATTAGCTAACAAATAACCGTAGGGGAAACCCAGGTAAGGGGTGCATGGGAACCTCGCATTTTTGCAACTTCCTATGAGTAATTATGTAAGAATAAAAATTGGGAAAAGAAAGCTCTGTGTGGAACCTGGTATCCTAGATTGGGTCCTGTAATGGAGCAAGAACGTTATTGCTATTAAAAAAAAAAACCACCCCAGGAAAACCTGTGGTTCAGTTCCGAGTTCTGACTGTACCCATGTCCATGTTCAGTGCGTAAATGTACCCAGGGTTCATACGATGTTAACAGGGGAGGCCGGGTGGGTGAAGGGCGTATGGAACTTGCCTGTGGATATGAAACTATTTCAAAAATAAACCCTCGAGCCCAGAATGACTAAACTGGAAGTCTCAGGAGTGGCTCAGGTAGGAAAAAAAAAAATTGTTTTTTTCAACACTACGGATGGAACCCAGGGGCGCTTAACCACTGAGGTACGTCCCTAGCCCTTTTTATTTTGAGACAGAGTCTCACTAAGTTGCTGAGGCTGCATTGAACTCAATCCTCCTGCCTCAGCCTCCTGAGCTGCTGGGATACAGGTGTGCACCACTGGGCCCAGCTCAGATTTTAGTCTGTCAGGTGATTCTGACATGCAGCCGGGGGCTCAGAAGCCTGCTGTGGAGAGACGTAAGAGTTTGTTTCCCGCCTGGGTTTGGTCCTCAAGAACAATTTCTAGGTGAGCACACCCCTGTTCTTTTGTCCTTCAGTCCCATTTACAAGGACCCAAATCTCCTTGAGAGGGGCTCCAGAAACTTCCCTCCTTCCCTCCCCAGTCTGTGACCCCGCATCTCTGTGACGCCCCATTCCACACAGCTCAACCCTGGGAGGAAAATTCAGGTAAACTGGAAGAAGAATAAAAGCTGTCTAGTTCCCACCTCCCTGAAACTGCAACACTAGGGGAAAACGGGGGGGGGGGGGGGGGAGAACTTGAAATGTCCTAAGGATGTGAGAGAAACTGTCATTGTTTTTTTAAGAAAGAAGGAAAGAAGGGCGATGCTGGTGCAGCTAGTCACAAGCAGCCTTCCTGTCCCTTGCTGCTCTCCGCACCTTACAGCCGCAGGCACCTCCATGGGCACCTCCGCCAAAGGCATGAGCCAGGTGGGGTGGGTGGAGATGGGGCTTAGCCACAGCAGGACGACCCCCTCCTCCCACGCCTGACCCCTTCTCCACACAGAAACTGACAATACTGTTGGTGGCAACAAGCACAGGGTAGAGGGATGGCCCCACCTGCTGCTCAGGACTCCAGGAGGGTTTGGAGAGGCCATCTCCACAGGAAGTAGCAGGGCGAGGAACAGACCTGCAGGGAGCCCCACTTCTTGGTCTGGCACGTGGAGAAGGCCAGGGCACGTGAACCGACACGTGGCATGGTAAGGGGAGCCACCAAGGACAAAGGACATCGTGGACCAGGCCACGGATATGAACCCCAACTAAAACTCCATTTGCTCAGAAAGTGCTGCCAGCAGCAGAGGTCAGCCAATGGAAAGCAGAGCGGACACAGGCCGCGGCCACACGCAGGCGGTAACTGGCCGCAGTGCCTGGCTTGAAGAGGTACAGACACTGCACTGTCACAGCGTCAGAGGGGAAGGGGAAGCTGGGCCCTGGGGACCAGAGATGATTCTGTTCCTTTGTTTCTTCCAGAGGCAGGCCTGGGGGTCCGCGCCAGCTGACCCCACCTCCTGAAGGACAGCGGGGCCTGCCGAAGGCTCTGGCACTGAGGCCTGGGATCCGCGTCTATAAGGGCCATCTAAAACGTGGCCTGAGCGGTGGGGACAGGCTGGCTTGCGAAGCTGCCGCGGCTCCCTCCAGCTCCCCACGGGCGTGTCCATTCCCCAGCTTGGCGCCTGGCAAGCAGTTAGACTCCTGGATTCCGCCCAGGGTTCTCCTCCACTGGGACACAGGGCCTGCTGTGGCTGGACCCTGGGGAGAGAGGGAAGGAGAGTGGATACCCACGCCGGTGTGGGGAGCGTTCTACCAAACCAAGGCCGAGTCTCTAGGACAGGGAGCAGCTGGAAAGGCAGAGGGCCGGGGACGTCTCAGGAGGCATTGGAGCAGAGGTGGAGTGACTGGTTGGGAATGCGGTCAGCCTGTTTTGACATCACAAGGGAAAAGCCACTTGTAGGACAGAGGCCACTGAGAAAGACAAGGAACCTGGGCCACGGATCTCTGGCCCAGAGGGCCCAGGCCACTACAATGGGCAGGAGAACCTGCTCGGGACCACACACCCGGTGCTGGAAGGAGGAGCGGATTTCCCAGCCCTCCTATGTTCCAGAGGGTGACTGTACGCCCCTGGCCCCACCCAGGGAGATACCCTCCCACCGGGAGCCCTCTGCTAGCGCAGGAAACCAAGCCAAGAGAAAGAAGGGAGATATTTACCTCAGTGTTCTCTGAAAACAAAAAAGGCTCACTAGTCCCAGTCATCTATCAACTGCAGTTTCCAAATGTGCCAAAGAGGGAAAGGTCTACTGGGAAGGCTAAAGAGAGCAGAGAGAGAGAAGAGACGGCAGGCTGTCGGGCGGTGGTGGTGACAGGGCCTCGGCTCCAGCAGCACAGAGGGAGGGCAGTGAGAGTGGCCCCCTGGGGCAGTCCTGTGAGCCACGTGAAGAGCAGTGAAGCACCAATCTCCTAGTTTTGCAGGCCATTTGGGCTCTGTCACAGCTACTCAGTTCCACTGTCATCTTTCAGAAGCAGCCACATACAAGCCACAAACAAATGGGGTCTACACCCGGGCAGCTGGCCCGATCTGCTCCCTGCACCATGGTCTGCTGACCCCTGCGGGAGGCAATTGGCAATGACCGTTTTCCAAACGTTTCAATAAAGGCCATCTCTGGCAGGGATCTAGTGCCAGGCTCCAGGGCACAGTTCACCCTGCACTACTCAATAAGCAGCACCCCACTGAGACCACCCTGCGCTCTTGAGGAAGTGAAGGCCACGGTAACAGGGACACCCCAGGGAGACCCTGAGAGTTCGGGCAAGGAGCAGAGACAGCAAGCAAGCCTCAGGGAGGCAACTTCAAGCTGCGCGCAAGTGAGAGTCACCAACATCGTGTCACTGAGCATGGGGTGATCTGTCACAGAGAGGGGATGACCCAAAGCCACCGCCAGGACTCTCTCATGGGATGGCTCAGTGCTCAGCTGGAAGGGTTTTCACAAAGCCTCTTGGGGTTGGGGTGAAGCTCAGTGGGCGATGCTTGCTGAGCATGTGCAGGGCCCTGGGTTCCACCCCTAGCGCCTTTAAAAAGCCAAACAAGCTGGGTCTGCGCAGGGGCTCTGAAGGCAGCGGCGCACGAGGTCTGCACCCCGCCGGGGCTGCAGGTGGAGCCAGAGAGGGTCGACGGGCAACCCAAGACAAACGGCTCACTTGTTAAAGATAAGTCTTGGGTTTGAGCGGGAAGCAGGAGCCGGCACCCCACGTGAAGGGGCACATAGCCCAGCGGGGAGGGCAGCCACGTGGCACTCGTGCTCCAGCCCAAAGCCTGGGCTCACCAGCGCCCGGACCTGGAGCCCACAAAGGCTGGCCACCACCGTGGTCCCCAGGGTTGGGGGACTCTGCCCATTACACACACACACCACCTCACAATTCAGAAACACCTTTTGTAAAAACATCTCTGCACTTTGAAGCGCAGGTCTCAGTGACCAGAGCGGCGGTCCCCTGAGGCCCCACAGGCCAGGGTCCTCGGCCCTCACTTTGCTTCTATAAGACGGGCAGAGTGGCTCTCAGGACCCCGCCGAGGCAAAGGCACCGCAGGCTCAGGGCTGCACCCAGGGTGAGTCTCAGCAAGAGCTGGCTCCCCGGGGAGGGTGGGCGAGGAAGTGGGACCTGCACCCTGCCCCTCTGCAGCCTCTGAAGCCCAGCCAGGACTCCACTCCAGGACTCCACTGGCCTCAGAGCCCCATGCCCCCGCCCTCTCCACTGCCGCTCCACAGGGCCACATCTGTTCCCCAGCTACTCCTGCTCGCCATGGAGCCCCAAGGAGGCTCTCACTGCCCGCCACCCTACTCCTCTGCCACACTCCTTCCCAGCCAGGCCCGCGGCACCCCAAGTCTAAGTGGCCAGAAGTTTCTGGACTGGATGGACCTCGCCGCCAGCTCCTCTCTATAAAGCTGACCATTCTGAGAGGCCCTCAAAGACCCAGCGCCAGCTGAGCTACAGCTGTCACCCAAGCCACTCAAAACAGCAAGAAGGGACAAGGACAGGGAGAGAGCAGAGCCAGGAGGCCAGAGCAGGTGGGGCGCAGCCAGCAGGTCTGAGGGAAGCGGCCGGGCCTGCCGCGAGGCTTACCCGCGGCTGCCGTGGTCTTGTTACTGAGGAGCCTGGTCTGACTGCCCGGGACGACCTGGAGGTCAGAGTTTTCGGGGGACGGTGGCAGGCTCTGGGCTCGGGTGGCCAGGAGTGCATTGAGGTACTGCAGCCGCGTGACCTGGAGGACAGAGGTGTCACCCAGCGGGGGACATGGCGTGGTGTGGGCTCGCACCTCTGGCGGAACTGGACGACAGGGCGAGGAGGCAGGGAGAGGAGCAGGGAAGGGCAGAGGGCAAGCGGGCAGCAGGGGCCAAGGCCTCAGGACAGCCAGGCCCGGGTGGCGGGGTATCCAGGGAGTCAAGGCCCCACATCTGGGCAGCGCAGGGCCTAGTCTTGGGCCTCAGGGCCGCTCAGACCTCACTCTCCTCCACACACACTTGTGACCAGCTGGCCTAGCCCCTTGGGGACACAAGGCCAGTTAGTGCCAACACAACACGCAGCCCAGGCGGTCACCTTGATGAGCTGAAGGTCAGAGAGGGCCCTCACGGTGTAGTCGGGACAGTAGGTGGAGGAGCGGGTGCCCTCGGCTGGCTCGGGCTGCAGGTCGTGGCGGGTGGGCTGGTGCGAGGGCACTGGGGACTGGTGAACTGTCAGGAGGAACAGGCGGTGAGGGCACCGCTGGGCAACTGCTGGCTCTGCGGCCTGCCCCAGACGCCCTGAGAGGGGACAGGGTGGGGACTTGGGGGAGGGCAGAAGACACCACGGGGGAGGTTCTGCAGGGACGGGGAGCACCAGGTGAGCAAGAAGGAAGCCTGTCCCCACTCCAGAGCCAAGAGACGCCCTGCAGGGGCCGGGGCCGTTCTGCAAGCCAGGACCCAGCCCTCAGAGGTAGGGGCTGCGGCTCACCCGAGGACGGCGTGGTCAGGGCAGACACTCCATAGTAGGTGAAGGCCCCGTTCTCAAACTTCAGGCCCTCCTTCCCGATCTCCACCTCAACCCTGCCCTGGGAGGAGGGAGGGCAGGCAGACAGACACGGGCACGGGTTAGCGTCCCCAGGAGGAGCACCAGGTGAAATCCCAGGGACCTGGGTGGCAGGCCTGTGGCTGTCCTCCCCTGCGGCTGTCTCCAGTCACCTGCAGGATGAGGATGAAGTAGTCCACTGGCCGGCTGCGCTGGTACAGGTAGTGGTGGGCGGCCAGGCGGTCGCTCTCATCAAACTTCACCTCCTGGTTGACGCTCGGGTGCCTCAGCAGGTGCAGGAGGACCTTCTCAGAGATGCGCAGCGGGCTGAACACGTCCACCTCTGCCCCAAAACCGGAAAAGGAAGAGTGCCTACCGGGCTGAGTGGCCTGCACGCACCTGGCTCCTACGTGCACCTGGCTCCCGCGCCAGCACCCCGGGCTCTCCCTGTGCCCGCACCCCAGGCTCCCCTGCGCCTGAGCTGCCACCTTCCACAGAGAGCAGGGCAGGGCACATGTGGGCCCAGCTGAGGTTCCCTGGCCACCCTTGCCAGAGGCAAAGCCCAGTTCTGCTCTTGGTCACTTGGGTCAGCCCTGGGGTCACCTAAGAGGCTGACAGAGCTGCAGAGAAAGCACAGATGTTGTTCCGCGTGACTCTCCTGTTTACTAGGATCAGGGAGCAGCTGGTGTCCACCGTGGGTGGTCTCCTGACCCATGGACAGTGAGTGGAACAGGGACATGGACCACTCCTCTCTCACCTCGGGAAAGGAAGCGCTGGGTGGCCAGGAGCAGCTGAGGCGAGATTTTTACTTTGTATTCCTCGTCAGACACCTTGAACAAGGAGAAGTCCTCCTTGCGCTTGAGCGGGGCACTCAGGGAGGTGGCCGTCCTCCGCACGGCAGCATCTCCTGAGGGGTGAGAAGACGGCAGCTCAGGCACAAGCAAGAGTCTCATGAACACAGACCCTGGGCCCACTGGGGCTCTGCTGCCCGCTCCTTCTTCCCCAAGGACGCAACCCGATCCTGCTCCCCCATGGAGCCTGGCCGCCACTCCTCCCCAGTGATCCTGGTGCCCAGGATGAGGGCAATGACCCTCACTTCCCAAGGAAGTGAGGAAGGGACTGCCCTCTTGCTTGGAGTTGGGTAGAAAGAATGCTGATGTGAAGAGCTGTCTGCCAACACAGGCCTCCCGGGGCCCTGCTGAGGACTGCTGGTGGCAGGCGGCAGCAGCAGTGGCAGTGGACACTGACCTTGGGACCTCATGCCCGGTCAGTCTCAGGAACTGAACTGAAAATGCTGTGCTTGGGAACAGACGTGGGGGTGAGCCATGTGCTTGGCAGCACAGAGCAGAGGGCAGCTCAGGGTCCCGGGTGCCCGTATGAGGCCCAGAGCCCTGAAGCACAGGCCCTGTGTCTGCCTTGCAGGCCGCAGCCAGCACCCTGAGGGGAGGAAGACGCGCTCTAAGGCCCAGGGTTGTTGGCAGGAAGATGCTCTTGGTGGTCAAGAATGGGTTCCTGTCCCTTTTTGTGGTGCTGGGGCTGGAACCCAGGGCCTCATTCATGCCAGCAGGCAAGCACTTTCAACGAGGCCTCATCCCCGGCCCAAAGAACGGCACAAAACGACCTGCAGCAGAAGACACGAAAACTGGAAGCGCCCAGGAAGGACAGGGCCCAGGAAGGACAGAGAGCCCAGGAAGGAC